ATATTGGTTGGTTTTTTGGTATTAGAATTCCAGTATAAGCATTACAGAAAAGACAGGCGTAAAAATCTGTAGGTATTCAGAACAAAAGTTTGTCCCTAATATCAAAGTTATTACTTGAAAAAACTTGGTGAACTCGCCGGTTTTTACCGGTCTGAAAATATTTTTAGACCGGCCGGTGACTGACCGGACCGGACCGGTCTAGTATTTCCAGACCGGTTACAACTCTGGGTTAAACCTATAGGTCCTAACCTAACGATTAGGTTGCAAGAGTTATAGGTTAGGTTCGACTGTAGGTTGTTATTTCTTTTTCGAGTAGTTGCTACTTTTGCTTAAATGAAAACTTTTTTCTGATTTTAACGACATTTTTGTTCTTATTCTTTATGTCTGGTTACCTTTAAGACAATAGACTGCAAAATGGTTGGACAATATTTTATGCCAACTATGTTCGTTTCTGTTATTCTCTCTCTTTCCGCTTCCTTTACTTCCTTTTACTTTTTCTCTATACTTCTACACAAACTTCGTCTAACTAACCTCAAAAATGTCGTCAACGTATAAGCAGGAAATCGAAAAGAAAAACATATTACGTTTATCGAAGGAAGGAGAATTGTTCACAATAGCTGAACGTCCAGTAGGAGCTAGTGGCGTTTTCTGGTCTAGTCTTAAACGAATCCATAGGTTAGGTTAGGATTAGGTTGCCAAATTTTGTATAGATTAGGTTATAGGTTGCCAAAAACTGGTAACCTGCAGGATTCTGCCTTCCAGATGTCATACTTAGTTTTGAAATAAATTCGCGATAAGTTGAAAAAAGTCGATGAAAAAGTATCAAAACATGCGTTACCGGGAAATGGGATAATGAAGGTATCTTTGTTGAGCTTGAATTATTTTTAGAAAACAAATACAATTCAAAATGTACTTATAGAGGGCTGTAGAGAATTTGACGGGCTATCCGAATCTCTGATTACTTTTCCAAAAATAACAATTCATTTATAACAAAAATCTGGTTCTGATTGTTCAAACCGTGCGACATTACGATGCGCACTTGAAATGCTCCCCGGTTGTATGGTTCTGTTTGTGGTAATACGTATTCTTATATGCAAAATTTTTTAAATTGCTCATCATCTTCTGAACTTTCGTAATGAAAATATGATTGAACAGCAGAATCTGTTTGTAAGTTTTCTAATTCTAATCAGCTAAAAAATTGGCGGAATTTATATGATGTTTCATTATTTCACGTAAACAAGCAATTAGATGCACAATACAAGCAAAGGAGCGAATGTCAGCAAGGATTTTCTCGAATCCGCTGATGGCTTTTCTTACACTGCCAAACTCTGTTTTAATGAAGGACATATGAAACTGATAGAGCTCGTCGAGTTCTATCTTGGTCCGTCGTCGGTCTAACTTGGTCCCTTCTTGAGCGAATTCATTCAGATAATACTGGAAACCGAACCTACGATATCCTGCGTATATGAAAGCGATATTGAAAGATATAATTCGAATACTAGAACAGAATTCGATGATCGTGGTTGCCGTTGCAATCTACACGAGAAACTACATCGTATAAAACAATTTGCTCGGTGTTCGCAACTCATGTATTCTGTTGTTGGCGCACGAAGATGTTTCTTTATCTTTGACATTAATTTGAAAACACATCTGTTTGCATCGTCAATATTGCACTTAATTTCGTTGCATTTTCTTTTTATCTTATTCTTCTTTTCTATCTTTAATAAATATAGGATTGCGAGGTAAGACGAATATACACTGCGCACTGTTGTCGGACAAAATGTTAACACAAGAACAAATTGACCGGGTATGTTTATTGTTGTTGTCAACTATTGTTGTAAAATATTTTTTATAGTATGAACAAGATGGTTTCCTTGTCCTGCAACAACTGCTGACACTTGATGAATGTCGAAAGTTGAAAATAGCAGTCGGTCAATTGATCGATAATTGGGAACCAGATCCAGTATATTCGTGGATATTTCTAAATGATAAAGATAAACAACAAGCCAGAGCACAACGAATGGTCGCTCTTAAAGATGAGCTTTCATTTGGTATCGAAGAAGAGGCCATTGATCCTCAAACAGGTATTATGTAAAGAAAAAGACAATTCTCTCTTTTCACTTTGTAATTTCCATCAATTTAAAACAAAAATAATTAGGTAAACTCAATCGCGACAAACATCTGAGCTTGAACAGAATTGGCCTTACTCTTCATAACTTCCATCCCGAATTCAATGCAGTGACATTTTCAGATAAAATCAAGGTAAAGCCTATACAAAATCCATTTTTCCAGTACTTCTATCCTTTCCTTAGGCTATTGTACACGATCTCAAATTTATAAAACCTGCCATACGTCAAACGATGTACATCTTTAAACAGCCATTTATTGGAGCGAAAGGTAAATATTATATGTTCACAGGAATAGCTGAATTATATTTTCTTTCTATTCAATAGTGGCATCCCATCGAGATTCAACATACGTGTACAATGAACCACTCAAAATAGTGGGCATCTGGATTGCTCTTGAAGATGCTACTATCAATAATGGTTGTCTTTGGTTTATACCCGGTTCAAATTTGAGTGAGTCTATTTTTTTGTGTCCTATGTTCGTTCGCAACAGAACAGACTGCATTCAGAACCGACTCAACGACGTTATATTCGAAATCCCAATCAACAAGAATTTAACGAAGGAAAAGTGCTCATTTTCACAGAAGAAGAACAATATGATGATAGTGCCTTTGTTCCTGTAGAAATCAAAGCCGGTAGAATAGTCGAATAATGTTACATTTTTTATCTAAATCACAAAATATGATTTTCAGGTGATGCCATTCTTATTCATCCTCATGTCGTGCACAAGAGTGAACAAAGTATGATCCACTGAATTCGATCGATTTTCTGTTACACATCCTTACTTCTAGATAAATCACCGATTTCAAGACACATTTACGGAATTCATTTGATGGAAATGCACAATTCAATTTACTGCAAAGAAAATTGGTAAGTAGTTCGATTAAAATCAAACTGAAGAAAAATATTTTCAAATTCGTCCATCGTACTATCGTGAATCGATAATCTTTATGTAAACGATGTTTTAATGGGATACTGATCTCTCACGAGATAGAATGATGCATCGTCTGCTTTTTTTCTATGTTTAGGTTTCAACCGGCGGCGCCATTTTCACTACTCTACGATGAAGGATGAACCTTTTTTGTGCAAGCAGAAAAGAACAACAAGGGAACATTTATTTATATGATTTATACTATGTGAAAAAGATTGATTACATAATAAATGGTGAATTCCCGTTTCGTCGAAAGTTTAATTAATTTTCCTGTTTCGTCAAAAAAAATTGTAGACCTTTTTTTCTAGTGTTCCTGTTTTGTTGAAAAATAAAACTTGAAGTAGAATATAGATTATTCTAATTAGTGTGGTTTTTATAAACAGACTAATTAAAAAGAATGCTGAATTATTCTAAATTATTGTATTGAAAAATACATTATTAGAGAAAGACAACAAAACAAAAATCAAAATTTTCATCACCATTGTGATTGTGGGGTTTCTTCCTACTTGGTTGATCCGACCCATATTGTATAGCACGCCCAGGACATGAACGGTCTTCACATTTCCAATAAACGATAGTATTCACAATTTTGTCTTGGATGTAACGAAAAGTATTAAGTAATAAAGTTTCTTTTTACGTTTACTTTCAACAATAGATAACATGAAATACAGTGAAAGATATAGTAGAGAAATCATTGTGTTAAAGTTGAATACAAATAGAATAGATAGTGACTTTTTTCAATACAGTTTATTAATTAAAATAATCTATATTCTACTTTAAGTTTTATTTTTCGACGAAACAGGAACACTAGGAAAAAATTTTTTCGACGAAACAGGAATATCAATTAAACTTTCGACGAAACGGGAACTAACCATAATAAATAATAGTAAAACAAGTGATATCACATTTAGCAGTGTGGCTAAAAGATTTAAGGTTAGGATGAGCTAAACCCTAAACGATTTTTCAAGGTACACCAAGGTAGTGCTGATTTTTTTTGTGTTTTTTTGAGCACAAACAGAATTGAGATTGATCCAGTTGAACCAGAGATATTGTGTAAAAAGCTCGAAAAAACGAATCACGAAAAAGAAAATTTCGAAAAAATAAAGCTCGAAAAATTAAAATTCCGAAAAAATCTGTATTAGAAAAAAGAAAAATCGAAAAAAGTGAATCTCGAAATAAAAAATCCAGAAATTGGCAAATTTCGAACAAAGAAAAATCTCGAAATAGTTGCAATGTAAGCTATCAGTGTAATGACCAAAGAAAAATATTTATAATTGAAATTTTATTTTGAAAAATGATGACAACGAACTAATGAAATAGAAAAACTAACTAAATTGATGAAGAGCGATCATTTGCTTATTCCAATTAGTAATGAAAGTCCTTCAAGTCATTCATCAAGATTTTTTTGCCTTTGATTAAAGTTCAATTGAAGTGAAGAAATTCGTTCTTGTTGAAGAAGAGTTTCCTTGCTTCTGCTCTTCTTTCCGCCCGCCATCATTTGTAAAATTTGTTGATGTAAGGTGCAGCTAATGCAAAATTCGAGTGGGTTTTATTTTTCAATTTGTCATACATATTCTGATTCATCATAAACCGACGGGTGTCCAATGAGGTGTGACTCATCTTGTAAACCTATCTAATCTTAGTTTTTTGGGTGAAGAGCTATACGTTTGATTCATACACCACTAGATCGACCAAGAGACCAGCTTGAAAAGTACGGAGAGCTTCTTTTTAAATTCCTTGTTCTCACTGAGAAAAACGGCTTTTACTGAAAACCAAAGAGAAACAGCGAAGAGATCTTTGGAAAACCAGGCCGTGTGTAAAAGTTTTCAATAGGATTGTATTGATTTTCTTCCATTCTATGATAGCCCAAGGT